CTGCTGAACTGCACTTTCCTCCCAGATTGTGGCCCTTGTCCATTCCAGCCTCTTTAGTTTAAATCTTTTTTTAAATAGGGACTTTCTCTTACTCTACAAAATGCTTAAAGCTCTGCAAAATAAAACACTGATTTTCACAGAATCATAGAATCAAGATTTTGCTTGGATCTTGCACACACAGCTGAATATAAATTATCAAGTACACACACACAGTGCCACAATTAACAGAAATGTGCATGTAAAAACAAATTCTAAAAGTACAAGGACTGAAAGCAAATTATTAGTTTTACTCTACGTTTTTTAATGTTTCAGACATTTTAATTCTGATTCTACTCCCACAGGATTTCTGTCTGACCCCTGTTATTATCTGCAAACCCACACTTACAGCACTGGATTTAATTAGCTCCTTTTGAACACTACATTGATTCAGCAAGTCAGAAACAGATTTGCAAATCAATTGATTTTTTTTCCCCCCTTAAAAAAATCAATCAGCCTTCTAACATAAATGTTATTTTAAAATTATGTATCCAAGGAATGAACTCAGAGACTTGTACCCTACAGAAAGCAGAGGAAACCAGCACTAGACATCCAGATCTACTTGGTTTTGGGGGCAGTAATTTCCACATTCCTAGTTCCTTTGCACTGATTGAACTGTGAGTATCCCAAATTTGAGACTTTCAGCACTCAGCAGGCTGGTAGATTGGTGACAAAATGTGCAGGGTATTCTCAGGAGAATTTTTAACATCGAAACACTGCAGCAACAAGTACTTCACACATGCTGATTCAGCTGCCAAAACAGAAAAGTGTCAATGTTCTTACTGCTAGTAATAGGGGCTGGGAAAGGCAAATGTATTATTTGTACAAATGTATACAATAAAGCTGTTTGAAAACACTCCAGAAGATTGTGCTTTTCAGCTGTTTCTTCAGAAAAATCTGTCACTATATACTTTTTTTATTTTTTCCATTCTTTAAAAAAGGTTATTTAGAGAAAATATGAAATTATTTGTTCTTTCAGTAGAACGAACACACTAAAAATTTTATCCTCAAATTTTCACTTTAAAACTCCATTTCCTTCTGTACTCTACTGTTTATTCTGCTTTTATGAAGTGGAACAAAAAGGTGAGGAGTTGTAAGAAACTGGGGGAAACCCCAATTCCACGGAACCTTCAGTGCTGTTTTCTGACCTCTGCAAGCTCAGAAGTGTCACAATTCCTTGGAAAAATAATTCCCTAAGAGTCTGCAAGGCCCTGGGAAAGACCGACCATTGTCAGGAGTAGTCAGCATGGATTCACCAAGTGGAAATCATGCTTGACCAGTCTGATAGTGGACAGGGAGGTGGACTGAGAACTGGCTGAGTGACAGAGCTTAGAGGGTTGTGATCAGTGTCGCAGGGTCTAGCTGGAGGCCTGTGGCTAGTGGTGTTCCCCAGGGGTCAGCAGTGGGTCCAGGTTTGTTCAGCATCTTCATCAGTGACCTGGGTGAAGGGATGGAGCAGACTCGCGGGGCACAGCAGTGGGGGGGGGGGCTGACACGCCAGAGCTGTGCTGCCATTCAGTGAGACCTGGACAGGCTGGAGAGTTGGGCAGAGGGGAACCTCATGAAGTTCAACAAGGGCAAGTGTGGAGTCCAGCACCTGGGGAGGAATAACCCCCTGCACCAGCAGCAGACCAGCCCTGCTGCCTCCTTACACGAGCTCTTCTACACAACAGACAAGGATTTACAGGATGGACACAGACTTATGTAGCAAAAGCAATGCCCCACGTCCTGTTGAACTGCTGTACATGCCTAAAATAATATACCAAGTGTCACATACATGTGTGGCTTTGGTGGGCAGGGAAGTGCACTGTGCTTATCCCTGCAGAGCCTGTCCCAGGGTCTACAGCAAAGCCACGGGCAGCAAAAGGACAGGAGATACCCGTCACACTGTGCAGTGGCTCTCCTAACGTGCAGGTGGAACCAACAGTACTTGGTTTGGGAACCTCAACTTTTTACATCTGAAGTCTCAGGATATAAGAATATAACAGCAAGATGTATTGTGGGACATCTAGCCTTTTTTTTGCTGCTCAGTGCCTGGGCTAGTACTCTCCTCTGATATAATAAACACTTTTCTCCTCAGGCACAAAGGAACACGGGCTGTGTAGGTGGCGGAATTCGAGATACAGACTGAGGAGCAGACAAGAAAATATTTGGCCCTTCTATTTCACGCCCACTGTTTTCACAGTAGTACTAACTGGGAGAAGCTAAAGCAATGGCAGTGGGTGCTCTGAGACCATCATTAAACCCTGGAAAAAAATCCAAGTACAATTGCTGTAGCAGAGATCTGGCTGCTCCAGGAAAAAGAAAAAAAAAGAAGGGGGAGCTAATTGTGCTTATCCTTCTAATGAAACAAAACCCAATTCATTTGCTCCTCACTTTAATCTTCCTCTAGCTTAGTCAGCTGCCAGCCTACACACTGCTCCAGCTTCCTCTCCCATCACAGTGATGTCAGAAAGAAGGATTTTCTTCCGGGAGCCAAATATTCCAGCAGATTAGACAACCTCAGCTCCAGAAAAGGAGCAGAGGCACTGGCTAGACACAAGACACTGATCCAGTCCTGCAAAGGGCTGAGGCAAAAGCAGGAGGAAGATAAAGTGTGATCCAGTCTTCTGCTCTAGCTGTGGCAGTGAGGACAGACAGGATGAAACGTGGTCCTGGCCACTTCATCATGAACAAGAAAATGGGCACAGAACGGACACACGGTGAAGCAAAACACAACATCTCACACTGGGGGGCTGCTAATAATTTATCCCAGCTTGGTTTCTTCTCCAGAAGGAGATGGAGAGTGAGAAATGGGAACAAGGCTGTGCTAGCAAGCTAGTAACTCCTTCCTTTGCACAAACATACAGCCAGGTATCACTAAAGGCAGCTTGAACACAGGCAAAGCTGCCAGAGTGGCACTGAAATACTCCTGTCTCAGGACCATGAGCAAGACAGGCCATTGCTCAGGGCTGCAAGGAAGGCCATGCTGTCTGCTTTGCCTGCATGGAAAAGGGGTGACCCGGGTCCAGCTGAGAGCCTTGTGATGTCCCACGGCTTGTCAGGGCAGGAGTGACCCAGCACTCGCTTCTCCTGCCAGAGGCAGCAAAATGCATTTCTGGAGGCATTTCTGGGGAGCCTCAAGCAGCTCTTCAGTGGTCTGCAGCAGAAGTCTGGACAGGGACGAGGTCTCTCCAAACATAACGAGCAAACTAAACTAATGAAAGATTTTGTGTTTACCCAGGGCACTAAGGCATAAATGTGATTCAAATCCCAAAGATCCCTGTGCTGTGTGAAACAGCTATTCCCAGACAGGGGAGAGCAGAGAATTCAGAAGTAGCACCAGTTGGATGAAGCTTTAACAGAGAAACTACATGGTCCTTATTCAAAATTCACCTTACGGTGATGGGAGAAGACAAGAACAAAGGAATTTTAACAACCTGAGCAACTGCAGTGAGACAGGGAATGCCAGATGGGATCAGCAGCAGTCTGTGGCCATTTACACCTCCCAGATGGTGCACAGTGTGGACACCCTGCTACACCTCCTCAGAGGCATTCCTTTACCACACCCCTCCTCTCTCCTCCACCATCCGTTTCTCACAGACAAGAAGTCCCTAAATGTGTGCTCAGGAGGCAGCAGAGATCCATAACTCCTTTTGGCTTGGGCTTTCCCTAGCTTGCAGCAAGAATACCTTGTCTCCTCGTATTCCCTTTTCTCCTCTTTCTCCTTGCAGACCCTAAAACAAAAAAGAAAAGGGGATTATAAAGCTCAGTCCAACTGGAGGCATAGTTACCTTCTCTAATTATTCAGCAAAACACTGTGCATGTCTGCACAACCTATTCAGTGAAGCTCAAGGACATTTTCTGCACTGCCAGTCCTCAGAGTTGGCCGCAAGCATGGTCTGAGCAGACTCACAGAGCAGCAGCAACCTGTGGGCCAAGGAACGTCTGTAACATTATATTGCCCACAGACACACGACCCTCCTGCCAAGAGCAGTGTGGGGGGACAGGGAGCTCACCACAGCTGCAGATGGTCTGGAAAACAACCAGTGCTCTGCATTTTTCATGTTGCTCGTAAACAATGAGGACTTAGGTAGAGGACAATGCTGATGGAAAAACCTATTGCATAAACAAGCAAGAATGCCCATTCCTGGTGGTTTTGGATGCAGGAACTAGGCAGACAGCAGGTACCTCTGAGAACTGGCAAATGTTAGATAATCCCTGTCCTGGAGGCACAAGCTCATTTCTGTGCTGTGAATCCAATGCCAGTGTTCATTTGGACTGCATAATCCATCTCCTCCCAGGTACACCAGAACCATTTGCTGAGGCTTAGTTTGATGAAGGACAGCAACGCCAACACAGGCAACCAACGGGCAGGAACAGATCCCACCTTCCCTTGGCATGGGGAGTATCTTGCATGTCACCTTCACTGTAGCAAGTGAACAACCAGCCAATGGTTACAGGCAGACAAACGTGTTCAGTCAGTAGTGACCTCTCAAAACTTCCAGAGCTTAAAATGCTTCTTATTCAAATAATACATTTGTCTATAAACTTCAGTTTACTTTACACTACAGTGGAGGTTTGCCTCCAAGCTAATAAGAATGACATGCCTGGGTTTATTAGGCCCATAGGGTGATTTAGATAATTAAGATCTTCAGAGATTTCAGGCCATAGTTGACTGTAAGCAAGCTTTGCACAGTCCAGTCCATCTTTAATAGCTCCAACTGAGCCTGCACAGCTTCCTGCCCTGCAATGCAACAATGCCACTATTCCCAAAAAGCAAATGGTAGGATAGTTAAAAATATGCCTCCATTAGTGCACTAATAACTACGGGGCCCTCGTGTAGACTGTGTTTATGATTAGTGTCTTGCTCCTTCCCAGCAGCCCCAGCCTAACGTCAATCTTAGCTCAGAAATGGATAGAGGCCTCAGTAACAACACACCACGTGAGAGTGTTTCACTTCTCACACAAAAGGGTGACTCAAGGACCAGGAAGGAAGTGTCCTTATAGCTTTGTCCAATTAGCTCATTAATATTGCAAGAGTCTATCCCACGGGAAGATAATGCCACCCCATGTTTATTCCATCCCTTTCAAGTCTGATACAACTCAGCCTTAGACCATGCAGGGAAACAGCACTTGGGCAAAGAAACAAGTGCCCAAGCTCTTTTGAACACACTGGGCTTCTTCGTGGTGAGTTGCAAAGCAAGTCTCAGCTGGCACAGGGAAACCTTTCAGTGCATGAGCACGCCTGGAACGTCACTAAAGCACCCTGATATACAGTCGGGTCATTAAACCTCAGGAAAACCCATCAGCCTTTACAACACCAGCTTAAAAGCTGCCTCCATAATTATCAAGGTGAGACCACAAGACAGGGATGCTAACTTGACAGCATCTCATTTATTTTGGTCTCGCTGTCTGTTCAGTCAAGGTAGATTGGTCCCCTCAGCCCCAAGGCTATTCCCTGAGTTTTGAAAACTTGATTGGAAACTGGCTGAGAAGTGGGGGTTTTTGGATGGTGTTATGATGAAGTTTTTGAGCACCATATAACCAGTGCATCAACACAGACCAAACCAATTGCTTTTGGAGCTCCACAAAATCACCATTTGTAATCAAGTAATTTCTGCTGACATCTCTCTTTACTGGTCACGGGTCTATTCTCATTCAAAGAAGTCAGAACAAACTCAACGAGGTCACAAAAACTGAGTGCAGGTAAGTGGTCAGACATCCCCTATACTGCTTAATGAGAAAAAAAAAAAAAAGGCAGGTGGGCAGAACACAATGAAAAAGTAGAGAAAGTGTCTAGAGTGTCAAAAATTGAACAAGAACCTTGACTTACCGGTGCGCCTACATAGCCTTTAATTCCTGGAGGACCCTGCCTTCCCTCGGACCCCTGGCAAGGAATTGAGATACAGTAAAACACCAGAAACAGTTTTACATAAAAGACCAAGAAGAAGATCAGTTATTCAGAAATGTAAGTTGCATTCCTGTGCTCACAGGAGGCTGTTGAGGGTTCTCGACTGTCATCCCAGAGCCAATACAGAGAGCAGCGTCTGATTTTCCAGCTACTTACTCAAAGTGACACCCCAATGGTTTCTTTTGTTCCCAGTACTCAGGCATTAGCAAATTTTATCCTTCTGTTTTCAGTCTTGCCCTACTCAGGCAAACTGTCCCATTGAAGTTCCTGCACAGGTCATTTCAGAAGTTTTGGCAGTTTCAGTCATTGCCTGCGCGTTGCACGCTGAGCTCTGTCCTGGCTCCTGAACTCAGTGTTGGTGGCACAAAGCACAGGCATACATTGCTGCTAATGCTGCAGCCCAGCACAAATGAATCACAGCCTTCAAAATTTTCACATATTTTGAAGAGTAAGTGAAAAGAAACAGATCAGACCTATATGCTCCAATGTTTATTTTCAGCCCAAGCTGGAGAAACACAAGAGGATCAGGCACGTTTCAGCAGTCCTTCAGCTAGCTGCACACTGACTCCCTCACTAAGAAGGTAAACTTAAAAGCAAAGAACTCTCACTGTGTGCTTTTATATGTCTTAGAATGCCTGCAAACAATCTGGATCCTCAGCTCAACAGGCTCAGCCCTCAGAGCAATCCTTTGGACATAGCCTTGGCTTGACAAGTTGACCACGAGACTGGGTTTGGCATCGTATATCATCTATTTGACTGGTTATTTTCTTACTTCTGTCACTCCCCTTTCCTCCTCCTCACCACAAACAGGTCAACAAGAGCTGGGTTTAAGCACAAGCAAAGGTGGCTCTGGGATCTCTACAATATCAGGCACCTGAGGCCCTCTGCAAGGTCAGGCAGAGGGGCAAGTCCTCTCATGGCAGAGGGAGAGCAGCAGGCATGCACATAAATATCTCCCCAGCCTACAGAAAAATATTACATCAAAGTCTAGACAAAACCCCTATAGGAACAGAGACCTTCTTCAAGCTGTCCAAATTACCAAAGCCCAACTCAGTACCATTACATCAAACATGATTCTAACACTCAGCAGAAGTTACTGAGGGAGAAGCTGGGTTTGTCTGAATGAGAATACTTGCTGATCCCACCCAAGGTCTGTGCTGAGATCATGTCTGGTGAACCAGAGAAGCGTGAGACCTTCAGTAGCTGAAGCAAGAAGGAAATTTGTCAAAATGAAACTCTTACCTAATACTTTATATATTTCAAAGGCTTTTTTTCTCTCCTTTCCCTCTGTTTTTCCTATCAAGTGCAGATAACTGTCAGTTCAGATGGCAAGGCTATAGCTGTGTCAGTGCCAGCGCAATGACAGCCACGAAAAAATTCTTTAACTTTTATTAAAAATACAGAAAAGAAGGAGGAAAGGGTTGAATATTTGCTGCAGGATTTCACAGGCTAAAGAGCCTGGTCTCAAAATGTCAAGCTTTGTTTCACTGCTGTAATATACAGTGAGGGACCTAAGCTATGGCCTTTTTTCTCTGGATCTTCTTACTCTATTTAAACTAACCTGCAAAGTCCTGCGTGTTTAAGTGGGATTTTTCTCCAGTGAATATTTCCCACCATCTCAGACAACTGTGGAATCTTCTATAAGGAGAAGCTCCAAGCCTGATTAGCACAAGGCTGTCTTTGAGGGCCCTTCTTTGCTTCCACCAGCTCGTAGCCAGCAAGACCATACATCCCTCTGGGTGAGCAATGAGGTTTACCCACCAAGTTTGATGAAAAAGGAAAAAAAAAAAAAAAAACAAACACAAACACACCCCATCCCACCCCCCATTTTTAAGATGAAGACACTGAGCTAGGAACAACCTCCCCTGGAGACTTCACTGAGCAGCAACAGCAGTAAAACCAGAGATGACACACTGAGGCCATTTCACTCCTGTAACCCATAACATCTGCCCTAATGGGCTCATCATCCACTACAGTACCACTGTGGATTGAGGACCTATTACCAGAAGACTTCAGGATTCTTATTTGTGCTACTGGAAGCTTCACACAATTAATGAGGTCTGTAAAAGCTGTGAGGGACCTGCTTAACAGCAAGTGCTGGCAGTTCCTACTGAGGCAAAAGACTGGAAATCCCTCAGACAAGCCCATGAACAGGGGGCTGAGTGTCCTGGGGCACACATACACACTTGCTGAGCCTGCACTGTGCTTGCCTGGCTCAATGCAAATGAAGATGGATTGAGCTGGGAAGGACCACCTCCCAACCAACCAGAGAAACTGCAAGGTAGCTCTCCACGGAGCCTCGGGTAGAGCCCAGAGCCACTGTACTGATGCTGATTATTCTAAATAAAAATAAGTTATCTAGAAAAAACAAAATCATTACAACAGTAACTGGAGATGTGACCTTTCTGATTGTTTCACTTCCACCCATCTCTACACACCTTGTTCCACACCAGCAAGGTGGTTGGACTTTACTCTGAGAAGAATTAATATTTTAGATTTTAAAGCCCTGTCAGCAAAGTCAGGATTGTTTCTTAAAATAGCTGAGGCCAGACTCCAGCTCAAGGACACTGTACATAGGCAGTGCAACCACCCAGGTAAATAAGAGTCACTGTGAAAGCACACCATCATTTTATATTTAGCCACTGTAGCTGAGAGGCTGAGGTTTGCCAAGCTCACCTCATCCCTGGGAGCACCTGCCTTAGTCAGACATCTTTAGGTCCAGCCCCACCAGCAGCTGTTCTGCCCAGACCACAGTGCTGAACTTCTATCCTGCATTGCCTCATTACTTGGTGAACTGTGTGTGCCTGGTGGGAAATACAGAGCATTTCCTAGGATCAAACCCTTCTGGAGGCAGATGTAGATGCCTCAGTTTAGCCTGGTTTTTAAAAACTTTGCAAAGAGTGAGGAACTTCATCCCACAGGGAGTATGATATAGTCTACTGGCCTGTCATTCTGCTAGGGGAAGCACACAGGACAAAGAGACAATGTGTATTTATTTGTTGATAGGATAGGAGAGATGCAGCTGACAGGCTCTTGTGGGGGATGAACCCAGCTCATTCCATCCACTCCCAAATCCCACTGAAGGGCCAAACTCTACCCAGAGTGGTTCCACTCAGCTCAGCCCAGCCTTACAGCTGCCACGTGTCCCCTGCTAAACCCGCTGCCATGCAGCTTCCTCAGCCAAGCCCTTCCTGGTGCTGAAGGCAACACAGCTCCTGCAGAGAACCACAGGACAGCTGCCAAGCATCTCCACTAATCCACAAACACACCAGTAGTTCCCAGAGTCTCCTGCTGAGACCTCAGGAAAAGATGAACATTTTCCTCTAGGAAAATAAAAAAAAAAGACATCTTTGTGAAAACGCCTCTCCACAGCTGAGGAGCTCAGGAAGACTTGTGTAAATGAACTGCTTCCTAGAGTCCTCTCAGAGCCAACTGACAACCAGGACTACATCTGGAGTAGATGTAGCACTTGAGGCTATGGTCTAGTGGTTAGGGAGATGCTGGGATGAAGGTTGGACTTGGTGATCCTAGAGGTCCTTTCCAACCAGAGTGATTCTATGATTCTATGAAATGTGCTCAGATACTTAACTCCCATTTGAGGACAAAGGCATTAGTGAACTCATGGGAAGTTTAGATGATCAGATATGACTCTTCCTGAAAGAAAGATCTTTGCTTGTACAGGAGCAGACCTGGATGAAGTGAATTTGGGTAATCCACCTGTTTTCTTTGCAGCACCTTTCATAGGCTGAGTTGAACTTGCTGGGCACGATGCCTCTAAAAAAACACTTGCCAACATAATGCACCATCATCCTTTTGTGCTATAGCAACAAGACTGAAACCAGCTAATGGGTAATTAACCCCTCAGTAACCAGGGAACAAGGCAAGGAGAGCCAAGACGTCAGAAGGAAAGTTAAAAATGGCTCATGAGAAATGCTTCAAAACTTGGGCACATTTCTGACGTTCAGCTGAACCTCACCAGACCCCCACTCAGAAGCACACCCACTGACACAAGCATGGGCTCAAGTTCTGTATCACTTTGCCACTGGTGCAAAACTGAAGCTCCTAAAATAGGCAGAATTATCCAGGCTAGGATCTCTACATGATTTCCCTGCCCCCAGCCACAGAGTAGGGATAATAATTCTCACCAGTGTCTTTGTGAGAGTTGGGAAGATGTGAAGCAAGGCCTGTGTGCCCCAAAACATGTTCCTTCCACCTCCGCCTATGCTTATGATTGAATAAAAGGCATTTCTTCTTTTTACATACCTTGTCTAATTACTGATACCTTAGCAGACCCCCTGATGAAAATAAACATTTTGAGTTTCTTCAGTCACCAGTGAGAATATTGAAAGTCAGAAACAAAAAGCAATTCAAGCAATACACACATTAAAAAACAAAACAAAACAAAACAAAACAAAATAGTGAAAAAAACTATACCTGTCCATGTAAAGAAGAAATGGAAAGCTTACCTTTGGACCTGCTGGCCCAGGCAGCCCAAATGCTCCTGGTTGTCCTGGTTCACCCTGCAAGTAACAGCAATATGGGTGGTCAATGCTCATCCTTTATCTACAAGGGCTAGGCTGGCCCAAACCAGTCACGCACACAGCTTTAGAAATTGAAGCTCTGTCCAATATCTAGTCCTCAGGACCACTACCCAGACATCTGAAAGTTTGAGGTGTACTTTCTTCACAGAAATCAAAGTAGAAAGGGACAACACAAAAACTGCAGCAGCTCTTTCTCTGCTCTTCAAAGACAACCACCTAAGCAGCAGCAATTGAGTTCTCTAGGTTGTGAGGAGCTTGCACCAGCTACAGTCTACTCCCATGGATTTCCTGGAGACAGCATAAGGCATTTATCTTGGATAGTTACCTTGCAGTGCAATAAACCCTTCCTGTAAGAAATGTTGCAAATCCAATTAATGTCACTGCCCAATCTCAGGACATGCCATGTGTGATAGGATGAAGCTGCATCAGTTCTGGAAGCTATTTTGGAAAAAGAACAGTTTTCTGAAGGGGAACAAGTGTGGCACAAAGCAGAAACAGTAAAAAAAAAAAAAGCTTTTCTGCTGTGTCCACTACTTCTGGTTGTGCCTGACCTTCCAAAGAGTTCTTTTCTCAGCTTCCTCCCATTGCTGCCAAATGACTGATGCAAAGGGATGGTGAGTGAGATGATCGAGATCCACCATCAGCATGAAGATAATTTAAAGGCACGGTGATCAAGCTGGGGAAAGTAAGAAAAGCTCTAAAACACACTTACATATGATTCTGGAAAATGAGTCTGTGGTTTTTTCCAAAGAGTTCTTTCCTCAACTTCCTCCCATTGCTGCCAAATGACTGATGCAAAGGGATGGTGAATGAGATGATCAAGATCCACCACCAGTGTGAAGATAATTTAAAGCTGTGATCAAGCAGGGGAAAGGAATAAATGCTCTAAAACACACTTCCATAAGATTCTGGAAAAATAGTTTGTGGTTTTATGCCTCAACTCCTCCTAAAAGAGGACTTAAACTCCTCTTAAAGACAATATTTGGTTTGCTTCATCCTTCTTTGAGCTAACCTGCACCTCCTCCTGTGCTCTTAGCTTTCAGAGGTTCACAAGAGGAGTTCAGGTCCTTGTTTCTGTGACTGGCACATCCATTTTTCTCACCCCTGTCCATTGTGCAAGCACAGGATGGTTCCTTGCACCCTCTGCCACCTCCACTAGCTGATAACTCTTTGCCAGGCTTAAATGCCCAGGCTCTGCAGCTATGAACCAACACTGCAGCAGCAGGTCCCAAGCCACAGGCTGCCAGGACCACCCCCTTCCCCATCTTAACGATGGGACCAGAGCTGCCCTGGGAGCCCCTCAGCACAGCTAATCCACAGGACATCTGCCACCCCTGTGAAGAGGTGAGGAAGAGAGCTGGGACTGTTAACCTCCTGCCAGTTATTCCTGTGGTCCTAAAACAGCCATGCAAATCCCCAAGACACGTTCCACTCATCACAGATTGATTTCCACTGCTTTCCTTGCCATGAAAGGGGAGGAACAAAAAGGCTTACGGCTTCTCCTTTTGCTCCATCCCTCCCGGGGGGGCCAGGGGAGCCCAGGGACCCCTGCAACAACAACAGAATCTGCATCAGAACAATATTAACACCCCCTGCAAGTGCCAGGACATGAGTGAGGCATCAAGACAAGGATAAGGAACAAGGAGAATCATTTCAGCACAAACATTTATTATTTACAGTCTCTGGAGGAGCTGCTGCTGCCATTAACAGGCTGTGGCCGATTGATGAGCTGCTAATGAGGAACTAGGCACTCTTGGCCACTTAACTCATTTAAGAATAAATTAATACAAAAGCTGTGCAGCTAATTAAATATGTAACAATTGAGTCATCTTAATATCATCTCCCCTCAGCCTTTCTGTCTACCATTCCCTTGTATCCAAAAACTGTTATTTTGTGACTGAATACTAATTTTTTTAATTTATTTTTTTTTCACTCCTTGGTTGTACAGCATCCATCCCAAAGCTCAGAAGCCTCCAGCCACAGCTACAATGCACATAAGTAATGAGCCTGAAAACAAACAGAAGAGAAACCTAGAAAAAATCAAAGCAGCCCTCACAAACTACCCTGCCACCAGGAAGCAAGTCTCAGAGCTGTGAACAGGCAAAGCTGTAGAAAACAAAGGAACAGAAACCCAGGCACCACTTTTTAAATCTTCCCATACATCAGGACAAATGGCACTGAATATGTGGAGAGGATTGCAGCAAACACAGAGAAAAGGCAATTTTTGCTGCATGCAGCTGGCAACTTAAAAGAACAAATGGGGAATGGAAAGAGAACAGACACAACAGGCAAGGCAATGTAGGTGGTGAGCAACTGGCTCAGGGTTTTTCCTTCTAGGCACTGTAGTGGTTTCTTCTTAACAGCATTGTGAAAAAAAGTTTCCAATGAGAAATGGGCACTGCAAACTGCCACCCTGGGCTCTGATTAAACCAAGCTCATTTGCTGTGTGTTACTGGGAGGGGGATCTCACCTTGCAGTCCTGAACATTTGCTATTTTACAAGAGGTGGAAAAAGTTTAAATTCCCCAAATCCCTCCTGTAAGCATCAAGGCATAGCTGAAAAATGTGTCCAAAGCAAACACTAGTCGATAGAGGAAGCCTGGTAGAGGATTTTTTTGGTTTGTTTTTGAGATGATGACACAGTAAGCAGCTAAAGGCTATCTCAGTCTAAAAGTTATTTATGATCATTGCAAGACAGGACATCATAATCTTTGGCCTTCCATGTCTCATACTGAAGAAACACTGGTGTTTCTGGATGTGGAGGCATTAGCACCGGGCTGCTATTCAGTCTCACTCTTCTCTGCTTTGGAGCTTCAGAAAGTTTAGATAAATGTCAAGCCCTTGAGATCTCCACATGTTTGTCCAATGTGGCTGAACAACATCAATGTTTAAAGATTTTAAGGTGCACCTTGCTGAAAAATAGCACAAGAGTTTAGTCTCCTTTTCTCAGCAGGTTGTTAACACGTAACAAGAAAATACAGAAGGGGAAAAAAAAAGACCTGGAAGAGAGTGTCTGTTCATTAGCCTTCCACAACAGTTTAAAATTTTGATTGGATAATTAATAAAGACTCAGACTTACTTTTTCTCCCTTATCCCCTTTCAGCCCAGGAAATCCGGGGGAACCTTCTTCACCCTAAAACACAAATGGACAAAACATCTCAGAAGAAATGCCACCCCATTCTGTGGTACATTTGTCTGTTTTAGATGGCACAGTTATCATCTCTTGAGCATCAAGGCCAGCTCCTCTGCTTTGCTGTAATGATGTTTTCGGTCACCTGTAACTTGCCTGTATTTGAAAAGGTTCACTTTCAATTTTCCATTCCATTGTTTTCCTCTGTTTTGTAAATCCAGAACCAGTCTTCTTCCACGAAAAAGATTACAGACTTATCCTCATTAAAAAGAAGAATTTGAAGCATAGAAACATTTCACTGAAAAACTCTCTTGTTGCCACATTTCAAAGCACTGGGACTTAAAATTTGACATGGCCAACTTACTGTCACACCAAATTTCCAATGGCAAGGGCATATTTTGGAAAAAAAAAAAAAAAAAACCAACGAGGTGTTGGTGTGAGTCCTTCAATGGACTGTCACCAGTGCCTGAAACAGTGGACATCCATCTGTGGGATGTTAAGCCACTAGAACTGCTGGCAAAGGACATGCCACAGAGCAGAGCTAAGCAGCTGAGGGGTTTTTTTTGCCCATCTGCTTTTGTAAAACCCTAATAATATTGAAGAATCTTGTTGAAAGAGCATTAAAGTGGCTAAGAAACTGATGCATGGATTTATAAGTTACCTGTATATATTTATGGGTTACCCACATATTTAGATAAATTCAGGCCAAATTCTGCCACTTTCAGTCTTTGTAGTCTTTATTTCCTGCATGAGTAGTCCAGAAGACTTAGATCTGTGTATTCCTAGGGCAAGGTTCCAGTCCATGTCAGACAGCATGACAAAATCTGCTCTTATTTATTTACAGGTATATTTGGCACCTGAAGGTTAATAAAAGACAGTATCTGGAAAGTATCTGTAGTATATATCCAAACTGAAGCCATTAGATACTTTTATAATCACATTTGCTAACTGAGCCTTCGTAGAAGAGACGCACAGAATCATTTTGGTTGGAAGAGACCTTTAAGACCATCAGGTCCAACCATAATGAAGCACTCTGTCTAGAATTTGCAATGCAGCCGGTGGTAAAAATCAGATCTGCTGGATTTGAATGGCTCCCTAATGAGATAGAAAACCCATCAAACAGCAAATGTGATTTTTAAGGAAATAATTTGCTCTAAGAGGTTAATATAACTTGAAGAAACTGCTGTTCCATAGCAAAGTGTGCAGCATAGGTAGGAAAATGATTTGTGTCTCTTCTACACAAAATGAAGGAGTATGGTTAATTAGCTTCTTCCCTTGCCTATGTTTTTTTCCCTGTGAAGTGGCAATTCCTTGGCACAGCTGAATGAGTTGATCACAGCATGAGTCAATAAGTTGGATGCACAGTGCTCACAGAGCCATTCATGCTGGGCAGGACCTCGTGAGGTTTCAAGTCTAACCTCCCACTCAAAGCACCATCAACAGTGAATTCCAGCCAAGTTGTTCAGAGTTTTTCCAATCTGGTGTTGAAAACCTCCAACAATGAGATTACTCCTTTCCTCAGGTCCAAATGGCAACTTGTTTCCTAACCAACAGCTATCCCAGGAAGAGAAAGAGGCTTTTCCTTTGGATTTTTTTTTTTTAGATTGACTAAAGCAGTATGATTTTGTCCTTTTGGCTTTTAACAGATCTCAAGCAGCTGCCTGCAAAGATGTGAAGCCCAGAGGATATCTGTTGGCCTTCACAGCCAAGAGGCTCCATGGGCATTTGCAGGAAAGTGCAAACCTTTCCAACCTGATGACCATCCATAACAGAGACAGCTGGTCAGCCTGAACTGCCACCCACTCACCAGCTTTTCCAAGCAGAGAAAAAAGGCTCCAGGGATGCACCATGCTCAGGGGATATGAGAGCCAGCAAGGCTCCTATGAGGAGCTCACTAAAATCAGTTTCTTCACCTGTTTCTACTGCCATCTCCTCTCTCCTGCTGCTTAAACTGAAGCACCACATGCCACACATCAAACAGCCTGGCACAGAGCTGACCCTTTACTGGATCAAAACTCAACCAGCCTGCAGGAGAAATCTTCTAGTATCCACCAACTTTAGCAGTTCTTCCACAAGAAAAAATGCATAGAAGCATTTTAGAGACACAGAAAGATTTTAGAGATGGGTTTAATGTCTCCAGGAACCACCAGTGAACCCCACCAGGCTACAAAATGGAAAGGGCTCCATCCACTGACTCCCCATTAGCCCTGGCTAGCTTCCTTACATCCCTCACCAAGCAGAAAAACACATCAGGCTGAGGGTAGGTTCAGCAAACGTTTGAACCTTACCAAAAGCACAAGAAGGAATTGCATTGCCTGTGCCAAAAGGCTCATGTTCACAGAGTAAACTGTCCCCTGCAGGAGTGGGCAGCAGAAGAGGGCAGGAGGGAGGGAAGTGCTGGTGCTGCTGTGCTCACACAGTGCCAGAGGGGCTGTGACAGGCAGGGATGGGAAAGGAACCAAGAGCTTACACCCTGCACTCACAGGCAGCTGCCAAACCCCCCCGAGGACGCAGCTAACTGGAAGAGTCCTGATGCCAGAGCAATTTACTTCACTAAGAACTCTTCTTGCTTTTTTAAACGACCCAACTTCACAAACTGCACTGCAGATCCATCACCTGTTCTTTTCCTTTGTCTGTTAGTTTTTGTTTTAATTGGGTAAAATCCCAAGCAGTGCGTTCAGCGTGCTGCTCAGACCTAGGGAAGTGCTGGTGTATCCAAAAGGCGTCTGTCCCCTCCCCTCAATCCCACCAACTAGATCAGCTGGGTTAGAAGAAAAGCTCTTCTCTCTCTCCAGCACTAGTGATTCGAGGGGCTCTTGCCAGCTCATCTGTCCTGGAAACTACCTTCTAAAGCCAGGGCAAGGTACACTTAGAGAATGACAAAATTGGCAAAAGAAGAAATCATCAGGGGCTGAAATGATATTGTTCAGAGTTCTTGCTGGGGAAGTTACAGCTCCAGCAGTTAAGCTCCAAAGGAAGGCAGCAGATCTCCCCTTTCCAGGCTCACAGGCATGCTGTCTTTCTCTTAGCCACTAGAAAGCTAACCACCTATTCTAGTTTCATCCTCTGGGCTGCACAGTGCAAGCCCTGAAGTCACACCCTGACACAGACTGGGACTGTTCAGAGGTTACAGAGTGTACATAGAGCTACACATTCCTACAAACGTCATTTTTCAACTTCCAGTAGTTATTCTGCCATTATTTACTTGAATTACAGCAATGCCTCATTTGTTCTCTGCTTGGGTCACTCTGCTGAATGCTGTGAATAAATATTAAATGACAGCCACTAAAGCTCAGTTTAAAATTGCAAGCAGTGTGTAAATACAATAAAGAAACAGCAGAGGCAGAGAGCACAGGCCAGGGAAAAGCTGCCAAGCAGATATGGTCATGAAGGGTGCTGGGCTGAAGGATCCAGGCACC